CACACACACACACACACACACACACACACACACACACACACACACACAGCCTTGGCTAGGCCTTTGAGGTCTCTGTTGGGACCAATGCCTACGCATCTCAATTGTGTGCGCTCCCCCTTTCCGCTTATCCCCAGTGAGTTCCATCAGCCGCATCCTGAGGAGTAAATTTGGAAAAGGAGAAGAGGAGGAGACGGATCTAGAGAGGAAGGAAGCAGAGGAAAGCGAGAAAAAGGCTAAACACAGCATCGACGGCATCCTGAGCGAGAGAGGTAAGGGGCCCGAGTGGGCCTCGAGCGCGCGCTCTGAGGAGCACTAATTCTCAAGACTGGCGGGTCTGCGGTTGCGCTGACCCCCGGTGGCTCATCCCAGGCCTCACCCCAGGCCTCGATCAGCGCCGCCGCCCTAGGGAAGGACATTCAAATGAAAGACCAGAAAGGTACTTGGTATTAAGCAAAAAAAAAAAAAATTCTCTTTTCTAATTTTCCTTTTCTTTTCCTGGCGATCAAATCCAGCGACTCACTCATGCTGGGCAAGTGCCACATTCCAACAGTACTAAGTCACAAATTATTGTGAGTTCTATTCTTTGCCGCCGTTATCTAGTTCCTTAGAGTTGAGAAGTCTGAAAGGCGTTGCAGGTGGACGCTTTGAAGATGGAAACTAAGCTTCTCTGAAAACTTACGTGGGCAGAGAATATGGAGGTAGCTAATTAAGTCTGGGGACTTGAAGTAGCTTTGACACTCTGGGAAAAACTGCGCGTGGGAGAGAGTTAATGAGAATGTGATGCTTTGCCACCTCTGCTGCCTTAGAAATACCTGTGTGCATGTGGCTACTTTTCGTTTGTTTTCAAGTGGGAGGAAGTTTAACCTGTCTGTGTCCAAGGGGTGGGTAATACCTTAACAGGATATGTGTCCTTGAGCCCCTAGCGCTGTCAACCTCTGTCCCCCAGGCGTACAGACCACCCAATCCTTGTTAGTCCTGTGGCCTGTCAGCACCAACAGAAAAAATCTCCCTCCAGGGGGTTGAGAATTATATATAGATTGTTTCCCTATTACCTGTTTGGAATCATCGTCAACTGTAAAAGTTCATAGAAAGAACCCTTTTCTACCAGGGCTTTCTGACACAGAAGAGGAAGAATTTAGCATCACAGATTGTTCTATCTGCTCTTTTACCTCCATTGTGTAGCTTTGGGACAGCTCTGGCTTCCCAGGAAAGCTGCTTTACAAACCAATACAAAAGCTGTACCTTCAACATTTAGAGTTGGATGTAACTACCCAAATGCCTGACTTCAAAAAAAAAAAAAAAAAAAAAAAAAACGGAATCCCAGATACTCTAGGGCACACACTTAGTCAAGAAAAAGCGGGGAGATGTTAACGTCTCTGTCTTTACAGCAGGGGCTTCTGTGAGCCCTGTAAGCCTGGAGAAATGCTTTTCTGCTCACCTTTGTTTTTTAATCCAGCCCTAGCTCCAGTCTAGATGGGCTAGAGTAAGGAAGGCAGGTGTCTGAGGACTCAGACTTCTCCCAGGCCCAATGGGACCCCAAAGTGTAGGCTGGAGGAGGCTTTGCCTGGATCCACGGCTTCGCTACTTGTTGCTGGAAGAGGCAGGCAGAGCAGCCACTCACTCACGGCAGCAACAACCCGAGACCCAGGAGACAAAACGTCCCAAATGAGCTGGTCAAACATTTGTACAACTTTTCCAGCGTTTACAAAGAAGGCCTTCTCTACACAATCTACACTTGGAGATGAACTTGGGAGACAAAGCCTGGAGAGTCCATTGAAACTCACACTTTAGCTTGGCCCAGACAAAGCTCCAGCTCCCAGCAGCTTGATGTGGACAAAGGAAGGCAACCTTTTTATAATTCAAGGAGAAAAGAAGAGAAAACAGCCCCACAAAAGGCCCAGAATAGACATTATGGGCTTGCAATGAGGGATGAATTATTCAATGAGCCCCAGTAGCTGCCGAGCCAGGAAGTTTTATGGACTCTCCAGCGTGGAAAAAGTGGCCATTTCACCTACAAAATGTTTCTAGTCTTTTGGGTCGTCTGGCTGGGCCGGCTGCCATTCAAGGGCAATTGCTACCATTTTTTTAAATTGGAGTGTTTCCCCTAGTGAGGGCTGCGTCCTTGAACACACACACACACACACACACACACACACACACACACACACGACCCTCCCTCAGAGGCTGAAGTCTAATTTAATTTGGGGTTGTCAAGGAAGACGCAGCCTGGGTCCCTTCGGTGCCTCCAGCTTCCTTTCCGGATAAACCCTGGAGGGCAAAAGGGGCCCAGAGAAAGGAAAGAGTGAGATGCATTTTGAAGTCTAGAAACCTCAAATACTCTGGGCATCAAAAGTCTCCGGCGGTCCCACTTGTAAAACAGAATGGATGTTGAGAAAGGGCTCTCTGAGTCTTGGAAAAGGGGAGGGAAAAGCTGTCCGAGGAGGAACTTTCTCGGTGTCCCCACCGCTGCTGTGTGCTCTTGCCAAGATGGGCCTGGTACCTGCTGCGGAGACTGGCTTTCCTGGACACAAATTTGGCCTGGGGTCTGCTTGGCAGATGCTCGGACGCAGGGAGAAAGGCACTCAGAAAAGAGGTCAGAGCCACCCTCTTGTTGTCAAGATCTTGTCCCTTCTCCTAAACGGTCCCCGTTGCCTTTCTCAATTTTCCTTTTTCCTCGTCCTACTCAAGAGCTGCGCCGCAGCGCTCGCAGCGGGGGCTTCCCGCCCGCCCGGCGCTCTAACTAGACCGGAGGCTTAGTGGACCCCCGCCGAGCCCATCCCTCCCGCGCCCGCACGCCGGTGAGAAGAGGGCTGGGCGGCCGGGGGACCTTCCACCCCGGCTCCCTACCAACCGGTGCGGACAGAGCAGGCCCAGCCGGACCAGCCAAGTCCCAGCTTAGGCACCCGGGGCTGTGGCAGCTCAATGGGCGCCTCTGTTCCTCCCCCGGCGCGGCCGAGCGGGCCCGCGGGCGCTGCCACAATAGGCCGAGCCCCCGCTGCTGCGCCCTGCGCCAAAGCGCCGCGCCGCCCCTCCCCGCGCTCCGGCCGGCGCGCAGCTTAGCTCGCCGGGCTGCAGCCGACTCAATTGCCTCCTTTATGTCCCTCTCACTTTCATCTAGACACAGCCCGCCTCCCCCTTCTTCTCCCCTGCTCTCTCTCGCTCCCTCTCTCTCTCTTTTTTTCTTTCCTCCCTAGCCCGAGGCTCACATTAGTGAAATTTCTGCAACCTCCCCCATTTCTTCTTCTTCTTCTTCTTCTTCTTCTTCTTCTTCTTCTTCTTCTTCTTCTTCTTCTTCTTCTTCTTCTTCTTCTTCTTCTTCTTCTTCTTCTTCTTCTTCTTCTTCTTCTTCTTCTTCTTCTTCTTCTTTTAAAGAAAACCCTTAACACAAAAGCGGTAACTAATCGATAGAGGCTGCTCCTTCATCATCCTCTTCTCCCCTCCTTCTCTGCCCCCCTCCCTCCGCCTCTTCCTCCTCCTCCTCCTCCCGACCCCCTCCCTTTCTCTCAGCAGGGTGACGCTTTTCCTGTTGGTGAGCTTTGGGCAAGATTTTTGCTTTGTGCCGTAATGGAATTGCCGGACAGACAGGGACTGTAGACGGACACGCGACGGGAGGACTCTCGCTTAAATATTTAGATGCAACGTTACAATTAAGGACTTGTTGCTGTGGCTTTGAAGGGGAGCGTGCTGGAGCGCAGGGGAAAGAGGCCAGATTGCCAAAGTGATGTTTTGATTGGGGCTGGAGTCACACTTTCGTGGGACTTTCCACACGCAGATCAGTGTGGGAGGCTTGCAACTATTGCTGGGATGAAACAGAGAATTCGGGCGCAGGATTCCTGGGGAGCCGAGATTCCCTTCACAGTTCTTCAATTTGTGAAGGAAAAACAACAACAAAACAAAACCCAAAACAGTGCTCCCCCCTCCCCCCCAGAAAATGAAAGTGTCAAAAGTTTTTCTGGAGCCCCTTTTGTGTATAAGCTAATGTTCTTTTATTAAATTAATGACAAATGATGTCAGGTTTAAAAAAAGTCTGTCTATTAAAGAAAAAAAAAGGTAAAGTTCTTAGAATAGTTCGTTTCCAGTAGATGTATGGAAAGCACGTTCGAAGGAAGGGAGTCGTGTTGAGAAAAGCAAAAGCCATTTGCTTCTTTCAAGTTGGTAAGGAAGAGAATTGTTGGTGTCAGGTTGATGCGGCGGCGTTGAGGTACAGAATGAACTTTCCCACAGATTAAAATAACGGGGCGGAGGATCGCGGGTTTGTGGACCCAGATCTTTTATTGCTGGGCACTTCCTGACCATTCCCAAGTCCGTTTGTCAGAAACAAGAATCTACTCTCACCATCTAATCTGGACTTGGAGCTAAATTTTAAAGTTTTGAAGCGTTAGCAGTTATACTCAAGGCGAGTCTCCCAATTAAAAAAAAAAAAAAAGTGTTGGCGACGACAGTGCTTGAATTAGTTACTGCATTAACTGTCCCGAGCCAGAACAATGGGAAGGTAAGGGTGGGAATTCATTGCTTTTTAGCATTTCTTTTTCTTCTTGGTCGACTGGGTGAGTGCTGTATGCTTACTTTTTAGCCTTATTGAAAACATGCAGATTTTCTAATTAATGCTTGAAATCATATGTTTATTTTGGGGTTTGATGTGATTGTTGATAGCACTGAAACAGGAGGTAGGGGCTTCCAGTGTGTAATAATTACTGAAGGGTCATTTAAGAGTCCCCAGGGCTGAGTCATAAAACCCACCCGGGCGGTGAGGCGGAACCAGAAAGTGTGCCTGGGCTCAGGCAAGTGGAATATACAGAAATCAATCAAGTGAACAGGAGCGTTGCACTAAACCCTAGTGGTTTCAACATCTATGAGTGTCCTGGGGACAAAACAAAAATTATTCTTAATCGTGAAATTAAATGTCCAAGTTATACACTAATAAACTGTCAGCAAAACGAAAAACTGGCCGGGGACGCTGAAACTTTCAGTTCGATGGGACCCCATGACAGGAAACCTATTTATTCACTCCAGTACGTGAAGATTATGGAACTATTAAGTGCGAGAGAATGTACCATGTAACTCACCAGCCACCAACTGGCAATTAAGCTTCGTGTCTTATCACACTGGCTGCTCTAGGGTTGTTTTACAACTAGGAATTAAAATCTGAAAGAAGAGTTTTCTGCAGCCCTGGCCAAATATTGATTAAGTAGCCGTTTGTTGATACTATTGTCATCCATTAAAAAGCCAGGGGCTCGCTCAGCCCCTCAGTAGCCACCTTCTTTCGTCA